GTACAACGCCGGCTCGTGGAGGCGGCCGGCGTACCCCATCGCCACGTTGGAGACAAACAGGTCGATGATGTTTGACAACACATCGACGCCTCCTTCCCAGCGGTTGGGGATGGTTGTCCCCACCTTTCGCGCGAAAACCACCACCTGCCGCAGAAGAATTCTGCCAAATCCGAAGCCCACCGTCAGATGGAGACACGTGTCTCCATCGGCGTCGATCTCGTAATGGCGCACTTCATGCCTGGACACGCCGTTCTCGAATCCGAAATCCCTACTGTAATCAAGCCCGCGTCGGTGCCGCATCTCGTAGAAGATGACGGACCGACCCAAAACCCGCCCCCGCAGCGCCACTTCAACCTCCATCTGCACTGCAATCCACCAAGGAGCAGAAGCGGATCCCCGATGTGACCACCTGTCTCGAACGCGCGTGACCAAAACCTGCACTCCTCCCACCAGGCACGACCACCGACAACCGCCCGCGCGTAGAACAACGGATGACGAACACGGCCGCAGAATAATTGCCGAAAGGAAGGCAGTGATAATCCTAGTGCCTATGATGGTACCCGCCACAGGTCATCCGAGTATTTGTAGTCCACCACGGACGGGATGTCGTGTTCAAAGTCCCCGGCGCCGTCTTCATTGCCGTCCGATGGCTTGCCTCCATCAACGGACGATTGCATCACAACCCCTGCAGAGGGTTCTGCCTGCGTTACCAGCGAAGGGGTGCACAACAGGGGTGGGCCCCGAAATTCGGCGCAGATAGTGGGGAAGGGGGTTTCGTGGCTTGGGGGGTGTTACTTATATGGGTGGTGCAGGTACTGGGGTGTTGGGGGCATGTTCGGAAGCGGGGGGGGGTGAGGGGATTCGGGGCCTGTCCATGTCAACTCCGAGATAGCGCGGATGCTAACTTCAGCAACGCATCGCACAGCATGCGCTGACCCGCATCAAGCACCTCGCACTGTTTCTCCTACGTCCTCGCCTCCCTCTCCATTATGTCGCATTGCCGTTGCAGCACATCGCATTGACGCTTGCTGGCACGATCTACAGACTCCGCCACGATTGTCGAATGCGTCTTCATCACATCCGCGACAACATCGAAGGCCAGCTGCCGCGCATTCTTCCGCTTCCCTGCAGCCGTGCCCCCTGAAGATCTGTTGCCATACCCGTCCCCCGCTCCGCTCTCCATGTTGTCACTCGCAGACGTCTCTCCCACGACTATCGGCCCCCGCGGTTGGCTCTGCTCACCCTCATTCGGTTGCTGCGGAGGCAGTCCGCCGGTGTCATGTAGATTAGGCGGGTGTATGGCCTGATTGTTGGGGGTCGTTGCGTGGATGGCAATCATGGCATCATATAGTTGTCTATCCAGCACGAACTTGAAGCCTAGTTCTTTGCGCTTCTTCGAGGAGAGCAGGAAAAAAGATTGCACGCCCGAGTCCTTTTCCCTGTCCCAAATTTTTCTGTACCACCCGAAAATGTTCTCCCATCTCTTCATGCACGATTCCCCATCTCTATTCGTGACACCCTGCTGCACCATCCGCTTCGCTATCTCGTTCCATTTCCAGGTCTTCGTCTTCATCCGCGCGAAGTTGCTGCCTTGGCTCGCCATATACTCGTCCAGGTCCCTCTTGCACCGGACGAGGACGAGCGATTCGTCCAAATGCCAGTTCTGCCGCGTGCTCCCTCCCCCACCCTCGCCATCTGCACCCCCCCCTTCCTCCCTCGCCTTCGACTTCGCACGACTCTTGCTTGCCTTCTTCTTCCCCCCCTTCGATGTTGGCTCCTTCACCGCAGGCTCGCCATCGTCGTCGCTTTCATCGTCGTCGTCCGTGCAATCCTCCGACACATCCTCACCGTCGGCGCAGGTGTCACCTACATCATCGCGTTGAACGTCCGTACGCATCCTTGAGTACCGCGCTATGATCCTCTCTATCACTTGGGGGGACTCTGCCGCAGTCGGCGTCGTCACTCTTCCGTTCACCACAGCGTGGGGAACCCTAGTGCCGAGAGGAGTCGTGAAGCCCGGCGGTCGGCTATGGCTGCTCGTGCATGCAGACGATGACCTCGCCGGCCGCTGTGTCTGAGGTCCATCTTTTCGGGCGTCCTGCATTGTCACCGACACACCGCCCTGTGACCGACTGCTGTGCTCCACGAGGACGGTTCTTGAAGCATCCATGCTGCACGACGACGACAAGTGCAGTTGCAAAGGATCCGGCCCCGCCCCCCCCCCTCCCGTCAACAACGTGGACATCGGACCCATCCCAGTGCCGCGATCACCCGATCTACCCCCGGTCTCGTAGGAGGTCTGCGTGGAACCCCATGCGAGAGGGAGGGTTGAAGGGGGCGGCACCCAGTCCTCGTCATCTGGCAAGGGCTGCATGTAACTCGGCAGATGGGCGTACAATGYGGGGTCGAATCGCTGGCGCATTCCGTCGGGAAYGCCGTTCGTAGGGGCAGACCCCATCCCATACATGTGCCCGCCATGGGGATTATCATCGCCCATCCCCTTCCTCGCCCTGCGTCCTCCGCAGTCCTTCTTCGTTTGCTTCTTCCG